CCTTGGCCGAAAGTCTATGCTGTAGCTTCCCTTGTTCAGGGTGAGGGCGTGCCGTCCCGACGAAGAGGGGTTATCGCAATAAATGCTGTAAGGGGGCCTCATTAATGGCGATGTGCCGTGGCAATCACTCTGCAAATCTTTGTCTGCTAATGTGGCTTGCCCTTCTCTTGCCATGTGTCTTGATGTCATTGGTTCTTATTACTACATGGGGCTTTAGCAGTGCTGGGCTCTAGTATTTGGGATATGTATTGGGCTCTAAATGGTGGGCTATAACCTTTATGGGCCTACCCATGTCAATTTGGGAAATTTGAATTGAATATCAATTGAAAGAATGGTAAGAATAAAGAGCATACATTTTGAGCAACTAATTGAGATTGATAATAAAATGAGAAATATTCCACTTTATACATTTATTGAATTCGTTGAGAGTGATATATATATATATATATCTATGTATTGTTGTTAGTTATGCTATAATATTGTTTAATTGGAATATTTTGATAGAAATAACTATTATTAGCAATCAGTAGAGGATTGCATTGTTGTAGAAATATTTTTTAATTTAAGATAAATTGTAATTGACTAATGACATAGAGATTAATGTGGTGATAGAAATGTTTAGATTTTATGAGTTGTGTGATTGAGTAATTTGAACGGGGATGAATGAAAATGATTTGAGCTACACTCGATATGTGTAATGTGTTGTGTTATATGGAAGTACCACGTTTCTTTAGGTTAATAACCAGTAAAGTAAAGATGCATGTGGAGGTATCATGTTCTTTCCAGTTAACAATCGGTAAAGTGGGGGTATGCTATATAGAGGTACTGCGTTTCTTCCGACTAGTAACTCGTAAGTGGGGTTGTTTATGTGGAGCTTGGCGAGACCACAGAGAGGTATATATATTTGAGATTCAATATTGGTATATGTATTTGTGTCGAGATTCTTTGTTAATGAATGAGTGTGTTGATACTTATTTAGGTTATGGAAAATATCAGAACTAGTTATGAGTTATGTGTTGTGGTTTATTATAGTTGCGTAAAAGTATACATATGTATAAATGTTGAGTGCAATGAAGATACTTTTCGAGGAAATTGTGTATTTTAGAATATGAATGAGAAATTAGCATATTGTATATGTATAATGTAAAGCATCATGATTATATATATGTATGGAATATATTAATTGGAATTAAAGAATACACTTACTGAATTATATGTTCATCCCATGTTAAAAATCTTTTCAGGTACCAGCAATGAACCACGACCATGAGTTAGTGTGAAACATGAGCACAAGATAAATGAGCCTTTTTATTCGGCCTTTAATTGTAGGCAGAATGTTATGTGTGTATCAAGGGTTACACCATTTTTCTTTTTTTGATGTAAGCTTGAAAGCACTTTAATTTTATTGTATTCAATGATTCTCATGTATTGATTGGTCATCATATGTATGTATTATATATGTCATTGCCTTGTTACCACCATTCGAGTTTATTTATCTCGGGTCAGACCATATATTTTGGAAGCATTACAAATATAATAAGCTCCATAGTTTTGGCATAAATATCCCAATCTTTTGTTTAGTAAAAGTAAAAGTAAAAGGACCAAAACTATCACAAATTGTGTGAAGACACAAAGATAAATAAAGTAGTATATATATATATTAATTTAAAAGAGATAACATCATTTTTCATTCAATGAATTATTTATGAAAAGGGACTTAGTGTTAAGTGAATTAAAATTTTAGGGGACCTCCCCTTTTAGTACTAAAAGGGACCAAAATTAATGTAAATGGTGTAAAGCTACAAAAATAAATAAAATAAAATATATATTTCAACATAAAAGAAATGATAATGTCATTTTTTTATGCATATAACTAATGAATTTCTAATGAAAATAAACCAAGTGTTGAGTGAACTAAAATTTTAAAGAAACTCAATGTAATTATGTCAAATTTATGAAATTTGTTGTATTTTATCTATACTTTAGGAGAGATCAATATAATTTTCTTTAATTTTTTTTGCAATTTCAGACTAAAAAATAGTATTTATTTCAAATCCCAATACATAACTCAAAAGTTGATCGAATATATGATACTATTCAAAAATCATATTTCAAAAATTAATTTATAAAACATTTAAATTAGGGGGAAAATTGCAATCAAAATGAGAGGCAAATGTTAAAGTTATGGAGAGATTGTGTGAACAAATACAAGCTATTTTGTGTAGGCATACAAATGGATTGAGTTAATTTGTTGACAGTTTAATAAATTTTAATCCACAAGCTAACAAATTATCTAATTTTATTATTTAATCAGTCCAACTCAATCCACAAATAATCATATTATTAACATTCAGCATTCAGAATTAAAAATTAAAAATTAAGAAAACCTTTAGTCTATTCTTAAAAGGGATTTAAAATTCAAGTGATATGAAGTTTAATTATCAAATATATTTAATTTATTTAAAGTATTGAGTTGAATTATTAAACACTACCTAAATCTACATTGACAAATGTCATATACTACGTAGAGGATGTAAAACAAAATTTCACAACTAAGAGCTTCTCCAATGGTTAGATAGATTCATTGTTAAAAAAAATTAAAATAAAATAAAAAATCCCCAAATCACCTCTCTAATCTTGAGATAAAACTATCACTCTAATTTAGTATTGTTATTCCCTATAATTGACACGGGGAATAGTAATAGGAAAAATTGTAATTTATCGAATTGAGATATGAAATGAGTGATTATGATTAAAGGTAGAAATCCACAATTCACTGGTTGTGACTAGAACAAGAAATATATAGTGTGTGGGTGATTTTTTGACCACACTGCCCGCTTAGTATCCGGCTGGAGAGCACCGGTAGAATAGATGGCACCTGGCTGACCTGTAACAGAAAGAGAAGACTCCGGTGGTGGTTCGTCCACTCGGGGGCACTCCGACGATCAAGTCAGTACGTTTCTCAAAGATAATCAAGTGCTAAACTCACAAGCTTGAGTATCAAAAGCATACCTTAGACCCATGGGGGTGCCTCTCTTTTATAGCCAATACAATCCTAGTCCCAACAGAAGCCTGGCCCTAATGAACTTAGGATTACTGCTAATCTGGGACTCCCAGTGAGATTAGGATAAACTCTCTAAGAGTCTCATCTTTACCCAAACTGAAGTCTTCTCCCAATCTAGAACTCTTGTCCATATCCAGGTTGAGTTCCCTCTTCATTCTAGGACTCTTGTCCTTTATCCGTTTATCTCGGATTCCGATATCTTCGGAGATAACCTCGGCTTTGCCGAGATCACCTCGGCGCCACGACCAGGACACATAGCACCTCAGCTGCCACGTCGGCGTCACCTTGCCACGTGTTGGTACTCAGAAAATACATCCCCACAAATACTATGAATAATCCATTCAAATGTTAGTTGTCCCATAAAAAACTGCCATCTATTTTAAAAACCAAACTGTGGCATGTTGTTGCACTATACTTCCACCAAAATCTCACTCACAGCAAGTGTAACCTGCCAATTAAAAGTGTTGATGCCAAGTTGGAAAGAATATATTTCTCTTTAAATTGTAGGATCGTTCAACTATTCAAAATTATTTGCGTTGTTCATGTTGTTGAAATCAAAGTGCTTAATTGCTAAAAGCTTGCTTAGAAGGCGGTAGAATCGATAAGAGGCAGCTTTGTTAGTTTATATTAGACAACCACAAAGAATTGAGTGGGATGGTCAAAATATGGGTAAAAGGTACTTTATTGACAGTGTTGGTAGGAGGGGTGTACGTCATGTGGTACAGTGCCTTAAAGGGCTTTAAAGCTGGGTTTTGTAGGGTTATTTTGTGGTTTAGAGTTGATTTCCTCTGGGAAATTTAACATTTTTAAATATGTATGGAAGGGAATAGGATTACGGCTTAATTAAATAAGGAAAAGAAATGAAATTCGGGGCTGTTTTGTCTGGGTTCTGTGAACGGTGTTTTGGCTGTTAAGTTGCAAAAACATAAAAATAAAGAAGGAAAATAAGAAGATAGTTTTAAGAGGCACTCCTGCAAGCCTTAGGCATATCACCTGGGGTTGATTGTATCGCATTTTTTTTTTGGGTTTGGTTATGGTGTGCAACTTACACCTTACACCTTATACCTTACACTTACACCTTACACTTACACCTTTTGTAAAAAATTAAACCTTACACTTACACCTTTTTTGAGGTTGCACACCATGTGCAACCCACTTACACCTTACACCTTACACCTTACACTTACACCTTACACTTACACCTTATACTTATACTTACACCTTACACCTTACACTTACACTTTTTGTGTAAGTGGCACATGGTGTGCACTTGCACACTTAAGAAAACTCCAAAAAAAAATTGGCAAAGAATTGAGAAGATGGTTAAAAACTAGTTTTTTGACTTTTTAAACTTTTTTTACTGTTTTATGTGAGAAGTGATGTGACTCAAACTCAAAATGGGTTAAAAACTAATTTTTGGCTTTTAACCCATGTTTCCATATTTTTTTAACATCTTTGTAGCTAAAAAAAGAATCTTTGATATGATTTCAAATAAACTATCTTTGCATAGGTATTTCAATCCCATCATATGATCTTGAAATACTTAGGTAAACTAAATTCGAACTATTCATCTTGCTTTCCCTTGAAGGATTAATATCAAAGCCATATATTTCAAATCCATAAATAGAAACGAAGCCTAAGGTTAGGAACACTACCCTATATAATTGGTCTTTCCCATTGCAGGGCAATTCTAGAGCACAAGCATATGGAAACTGAAGTTGTGAGGCCTCTTCAGAGGTCTTTGTATCATCATCAAGGAGAAGAATTACAATGAAGTGTTGATTGAAATTGATTCACAAAAGAGTCCTTACAAAGCCATCATTGATAATGACAACTGCAAGTTTCTAATACAAAAATCAAACAGCATAGGTTTCTGGGCACTATCAGCTAGGTAATGAATTATATATAATAATCAAAGCAACAAATAACAATCAAATAAGTAAAAACAAATTCACATTCACCAGCCTACGTAGTTCAAGACATACACAAGCCACAAAAACAGATTGTCTTTATTTATGTGTGGAAATGAAAAAATTTAAAAAGCAAGTTAACTTAAAGATCTACTTTGGCAGTTGATCAACTCAGCTACATGACCCCTTCTGGGGAAGATGTGAAATTATCCTTTAAAATCTATGTCAGCACCACAAATATATATGCTCCTGGATTTTTCCTTATCTTCTTCTTCTTTTCTTTTTTATTTTGTATACCTTTTTTACGGAATTTTTACTGGAAAAAAATAAGAAAGCAAAAGGGAAATAGTGTAGCGACAAGCATGCCTCATATCATCTATAAACATCCTAATTAAGTTGACGCAAAAAAAAATAAAAATAAAAATGAGCTACCCCATTCTTCTAGCTGCTAACAGCAACCAAAATCTTCCTCTTGGTTCCCGGTTCCTCCTGCAAAACCACAACATCTCTCACCTTGTCCAACAGCTCCTCCAGCTCATTCACACCAAACCTCTGGTAATCCAGTGGTCTCTTGTATCGTTGCTGATATAGAGCCTCAAAGCAACCCAGGAAGATTCTACACGAGTAACTCACAAGAATCTCTTGTAGCTCGTACTTAAACTGTTCGAGACTTGGCTCACCAGTTTCACATCTAGCTGCCATCCCCAAATCAGTGTTCTCTACACCCGTCCGCTCATCTTGTTCTTCTATAACCACCCTTTCTTCATCTGAGAACTCATCTGAAGATCCACCAACACCTGTGATGATGTCAATGTTCTCTTCCTGAGTCCCTTTCCCCTTCTTGTCCTTCTTTGCCAGAGCTAGTGGAGGAGCACTTGGGCCAGGTCTCGAGTTTCGGAGGTAGACAAACTTCTTCTGACCTTTTCCCTCTATTGCCATTGTGTCACCCATCTTCTTGAGAAGATTCACAAGTTTGAAAGCCCCATATTCTGATATATAAAGAGGCCTCCCATAAATTTTCTGATACTCAGCATGAACACGGGTAAGAGGCAAACACCCTCCAGAAAATTCAAGCAGCTTCATCAGCTGTTGTTTCAACCCATTTAGATCTCCAGGCTGTACAAACATCATATCGTTCTGATCACACAAAGCAACAGATCCTCCTGAAACTTCGTTTAAACCAGATGGAAGACTTTGTGATCTTAAAGTTGAGGGGAAACAAGGCATGGCGATTGAAGTTCTGTTGTATTCAGATAAGGACTGTGATATCATTGAGAAATCCCTCGAGTTGGAATAGCTTTGTGAGAGACCTCTGTATACAATTGCTTCTTCTTCGTTCTGAGTCTGACTATCTGGGTAGTCATTGATGTGGCACCCCATAAGATACCCAGCAATCTCAGCTGGACCTACACGAGGGGGAATTAAAGCCTTAGAAGGCGGTACAAAGCCTTCCCCACGAGCTACACTAGACCAGTCCCATACAAACCTACCAGCGTTACATAGGGCAGATGAAACATCCACTCGAGAAGGAATGACAAGAATCACAGTATATCCACGTTGACCAAGTATGTGTAGTGCAGGAGCAAAATCAACATCCCCAGATATAAGCATGATGGAGGAAGGAGGGGGGTTGTCAAGAGCAAAAAGAAACATATCGACCAATATGGCCTTGTCAGCAGCATCTTTTCTCCCACTGGGTACATCTATGAGTTTGACACCAGTTCTCTGGCAGCCCTCTCTCAATCTCCTAGGGAAGGCATTAAAATCCCCATAGGCAGAAAACATGGTAACAGCTCCCTTAATTACAGGATGGACTCGCAATGCCATTCTGATGTTGCCAGCCACATCTTCAGAACGTACATCACTTGGGACAGGACAGTTCTCAATGTCCCAAAGAATAGCCACGGAACCATGTGAGGAGTTTCGGCTCTGCTGTGAAGGTGGTTGAGTCAAGTTCATGTTTGAATTTTCCACATGTGTCCCACCTTGTTCTGAGGATTCAGATGTCACTATCAAAGCTGATGCATTTGGATTAGCCATTAATGACTTTTAAAAGCTCACATGTTCCTGCAGATGGCCAAGAGACGGCACTATAAGTAACTACACAACAAGGTGCTTCTTAAAATATTAACATAGACTAGACCCAATATGAGAGTGACAAAAATACAAAGGAAAAGAAAAGAAAGATAAACAGAAAGAAACACCGTGGCTGAACTAATCAACTGAGCAGGTTAACATTCCATGGTATACCTAGCTGGTCAGCAGAACTAAAAGGATAATTTTGCCTGCAACCAATTGTATTGAACATATAGCACAGCATGATGGTCAAGACAACCTACATAGCAGCTAATAAATTAGATATACAACCTCGATAGGATACAGTATCTGTAAAAATTTATGTATTTATTGATTGATGAGTTTATGATTGATGTATTACATAGCAGCTAATAAATTAGATATACAACCTCGATAGGATACAGTATCAGTATGGTAATTTGGAACTAACGTGAACAATATTTTCTTGTTTCCAGTGAACAGTCAACTGCCCCAATCCTTGCCAGCATACAAATAACTTAACAATGAAATTTAAGAAGGAAAAAAAAAATTTGATTATAACATTCCTGCGGAATTATCATCACACTCAGTAGAGTATTAAATCAATGTTACATTACATGGACTCTTTTGTTCAACTTTCACCCAAAGTCCCATGTCCACTGGATATGACAAGGATAAGGGTGTGGAATATGTGTCCGACACCCGTACTTACTTTGGACATTTGAATCCTCTAATTTTTTGCAATGTTTGAAGAATAAGAAATTTACATTTGCCAAAAAATAAACATTTATAACTTCTAACATAGATGCGAGAGAAAATTCCACATTTTTTTCTAAATCTTATTCAATTTCAGGTACATTTTATATAATTTACAACATCTTATCTAAGAATACTATATAATATGTAGTATATATGTGGGTTCATAACGAGTCCCCATACCCATATCCTATTTTGGACAAATATACTAAAATTTAAGTTCATGAAGGTCTGACACTTGGACACACACTCGAACCAGATACTAATATCTGAGTCCATGTAACATAGAACTACTTTCAATATTACCATCAAAGCATTGGGACAACAAGATAAAGAGGGAGTGAGGTGGGAGATAGTGGAATAACTGCTTCAAGAAAAACATAAACTTGGACTGCTATATCCACATTAAAGCATATCTATTCCACTAAGAAAATCATCCTAAATGACCAAAATTCATAAACAAATAGAAAGGGAAAAATTACTGAAATTCTAAACATGTAAGAAAAACAGCATTGAATTTTATCAGATGCAAAGCAATGAGAAAGTATTGGCATAACTCTGTAAATTTGTATTGCAGTATTTCTTCAGCCAAAAATATGAACCAGTAAGCTTCAACAAAGGATAAGTCCAGAGTAATACTAGCAATTGAATAATATTCTTCAACCATGCACATTCTTGCATGTATGGATCTATCAATGTGCCTTCCAAAAGTGACAACTACGTATCAACATCTCTTAACTCTATTTTCACCTATCAGCCATGTCACAGCTCTACAAAATATTATAGATAGAAAAAGAACTTGAAGCTGCAGCTTGGTGGAACTATGCCTCAAAATCGATAGCCCAAAAAAATAGTTACCTAACATTGTGAAATCACACCAACATGATTAAAGCACAACCTAAACAACGAAATTGCAAATTCTCCAATCAATTATAAATGGAAATTTCTCTTCCTAGATCCATTGTTTCTCATTTCACAAGTAAATTGATGAAAATGACTTCTTTATTTCTTGCTCATGTTACAATCTATTAAAGCAAATGAGCTGTGTAACACTAAATATTGTCAATGAACAAATGTGAGGCTATTATAAACCCCCACAGCATAAATACTATGGGGCCAAGAGTTGACACTATGATAAGGATCTTCATAATTTTAGTCTCTACTATGTTGTGGATGAATTACCACCAATTATATCAACTCAGCCAATGACTAAGCATATGGGACAGAGTTGTGAATATCAATTGACGAGAATTATAGCCAATAAAAATAATTATGGTGCTGATGATCAGATTGGATATGAACTTGGAGACAATGGCTAACTTCACTGAAATCAAATTTAATGGTAATAAAGGTCATCACTTATCAGCAACAACTCAAAATCCACCACTGACCAAACTATGAAACACCCTGACCAGCAAGATGCATATTTATGGCCTTACATATATTATTTATGGATATAGGCAACAGCAAGTCTAAGGAAAGCACAGTTACAGCCAAGAACAGATGCGATCGCCTTCCCATGATTTGTGTTATCTATTGTAATTAGATAACCTCATGAACCACAGGTGCGCCTAGTGCCTAGAGGAGCAAAGCTAATTTTCCTTTCAAGGGAAAGTGGAGCATAAAAATGGATGGCTTAGAACTAAGGGAGTGTATAACTGGGGTGGCAATCAACGCCCAAGCATTCAATATATAATTATTGAACTGAGGACTTGAAACACCCCACCTTATTCTTGGATGCACCTTTGCATACCAAATGGGCTATAAGACACATTGTGCCTCTAGTTATCTAAACTTGCAAGCAACCACTAGTTGCAAAAGATGACTGTACTAATATCAAACTAAGCCTCGTGTCCTAATCAAGTGGAGTCAATTATATAAATCTTTTTTTTTTTTTTTTTCCATTTCTCTCTATCAAGTGATTTTGCTTACTTAAACTAAATGAATTCATATATTTTTTTATTACAACATCCCATGTCAGTCTAAATCTTCCCCTCCCCCTACCATTTCTATTTACGGTGATTATATCACTCTTCTTTATCAATGCATCTATAGATTTTCATTATATATGACCAACTATGTTAGTTTGTTCTCCCTCAGTTTATCTTCAATTGATGTTACTACCATTTCACAAATATATTTATCTTTTAACTTCTTTCTAGTCTTAGTGCATAGCCATCTAAGCATCTTCATCTCAATTACACTCATTTTAAAAATGTGTTGTTTCTTAGTTGCTCAAAATTCTATCCTGTAAAACATGGTTGGCCTTTTAATTGTTTAATAAAATTTTCATTTCAATCTTGTTGATATTCGTCCATAACATAATATGCTCGAAGCACTACTCCACCTAAGCAAACCTACTTTGTATCTATAGACTAAATCATTTCCAACCTCTCCATCATTATTAATCATCGTACCATCAAAAATAAATAAATATATTATCAACAGACAACAATAGGCTTGTTCAAAAAGTAAAAGAATGAATCTTGCAAAGAAAGATGGAATTCTACATCGGTTGTGTAGTTATAGTAGCAGTGTATTTAGTATTACAACTGGAGCAGTAAATTGAAAGATAATTCCCAAATTCAATCATGACCTAATGGCATGCCATGTACTACATAGATTAATCCATGGGTGGCCTAAATTCAGATAAAGACTTCCAAAGAAGAGAGAGATCTTGCGCAAAATAGACTTCAATTTCAGCTTCAAATCCTCTATTTTGTCTAAATCTCAATGAACTACGATGAAGCATTAACTTCGAAAATCAGAACTGAAAAGACAAGAACAAGAATTAAATTAAGGAAAGAAAAATTAAATATACCTGATGTTGCCGATTCTTCTCATTCGCAGCTCTAGCGATGATTCTGTACCAGTCCCTGGAATAAAAATAAATCAACCGAATTCAACAATAAAAAAATTAAAAAAAAAAAAAAAACTAAAATTTCTTCAATTCAAAGCATGGTCCTTCTCCCGAGCCGAATACACATACCTAATTTCTGAAGAATAAAAAGGAGAATAAGATCTAATGCTTCGTCATGGAAATCTCAATTTGAAACCCTATATATGCATACAGATACGCACATAGATATAAATCCGCGGAGGGAGAAAGGATTTATTTCTGTGGGTTTTTCTATGGAGTTGTATAACTGAGATTTTAGGAAAGAAGAGAAACAGAAAAGATTTGGAAAATTTGTATAAATAAATAAATAAACAAAGGATAAATTAAAATACAAAATGCCTATGTAATTTGAAAAATTATAAAAATACAAAATGCCTATGTAATTTGAAAAATTATAAATATTTTTTTATTAGAATTTTTTATTTAACTGAAACATATTTTTAACATCATTAAAAACTGTTAATTGATTTAATAATTAATTAATAAAAATGACGATTTGTTATGAAATTAGAAATCTCAGAAGGTGAAATGTAATTTTCAAAATCACAAAGGACAATTTGTATTTTAATTAAACTTCAAAAGGTGTATTTGTAATTTATCCATAAATAAATTACAGTGTTTGACTTTGCATTAAAATAAATCAGCAAGATGGAATTTGAACTCGCTGGAATTATTTTGGATTTGTGTATGTCGATCGTTTAACTGGTCATTTGAAATATGTCAATTGACACGTTGGTTAACAAAGGTGACAGTTATAATTGACAATAGTGACAACTGTGATTAATAAGAGTGACGCTAGTCATTCGAACGATCATCTGGTTTACCGGTGATTCGGATGAATTCAAATTCGGTATATCAATCATTTTTTAAAATAAATTTTGAGTTTGTAAGTTTATAAATTTAAGTTTAAATTTTTTGATTTATTCTTAAATTAAATTATTTATTTATTTTTATTAATCAAAATCAACGGTAAAAAGTGCATTTTTGTTATTAATTCAATAAAAAGTAATATTTTATATATTTTATATATATTTATATTACGTTTAATAGCTAAAATGCTATTTTTTCCATCAAATGTATTAACAAAAATATACAAATAATTTAAATTAAAAGTAAATCAAAATATTGATTTTAAATTGGCAAAATTAAAAATCTTATTGTTTATTTTGTTATAAAGGTTAAATCTTAACTTTTTTTTTTAATTTTTCCAAAAAATTTTCATTATGTAAAATGTAAAGCCATCGACTGTTTTATAAAATGGGCCGTTCCTTTTAGGTTAGCTTTCTTTTAAGTTTAAATTTAAATTTTATCATGTTTACAATCTTTGTATATATCATTCTTTGAAAAAGTTTGATCGATTTGATAATCATAATTTTTTATCAACCAGATAGAAAAAAAATTGAATAGGTAGGAAAATTTTTGAACAAGCAGTCAACAAAAGTCAACAGATAAAAAAATTCAACAGACAAATTAAGGAGTAAAATTGAAAACAAATGTCCTTCAAAATAAACAAAAAGACCTTTTATCAAACTATTTTACAAAGAGTGGTCAACAGATAAAAAAATTCAACAGACAAATTAAGGAGTAAAATTGAAAACAAATGTCCTTCAAAATAAACAAAAAGACCTTTTATCAAACTATTTTACAAAGAGTGGACCTCTCACCAACAAAACATATCCAGTGAACCTAATACATTATGGAAAATGTTTGTTGGCCGCAAATTCTGTGCCTCAAATGGTCCGAAAATGCCAAAACGACGTCGTTTTAGCATTTTCAGAGTTGTTTTGTACTCAAAACGACGTCGTTTTGACATTTTCGAACCATTTGAACCATAGAATTTGTGGCCACCAATCATTACCCATACATTATACCCTCTTTAAATTGGATTTGTCACTAATTTTCTCGTTTTTAATCTTATTTGATTCATATAAAATATTATAATTAAATTTAATAAATTATAATTAATATGAATAAATTGTCAAAGTTAGAAAGAAAGTCTTCATAAATAAATAAGAAATAAGATTTTTAGATAAAGTGTAAAAAATCTGACGAATTAAACTTCCTTTGTTGATTGCCGAGGGATGTTTCCAAGCTCACCTCAACCGGCCACGTGAACAAAAATGTTAAAATTTTTAAAAGTTATATTAACATTTTTATCAAATATATTACATAGGTATGAGACTTACATGGGACCTATATAGTTTGAATCCTACAACCATGTAAAATATTTGATAGAAATTTTAATAAAATTTTTAGAGTTCCTAACATTACTCTCACATGAATGAAAGATATATTTTGAGATGTTTTGAGAAAATGGTTAAAACCTGTGTTTAACTTTTAGGCAAACTTTACTTTACTCCCTTATGGTTTGGGCCGGGTGTAGATTACTCTCCCGACATTCGGAAATCACTACATAACCCTTATGTGGTTTGTGGACTAAAACTCACAATAACTTCTGTTAATAAAAGTTGTAAATTAACAATTATACCCTCATTCATCATCATTATCTTCTTATTCTTATCTCTCTCTCTCTCTCTCCCCCCATTTCATCTTCATCATCTTACATACAATTCACCCAGCTGACATACATTTCACTTCATCATCTTTCATACAGTTAACAGAAGTTGTACATACACTTTATCATCTTTCATCTTCACAAACCATTAAAACTTATTGAAACAGAATGACACACACACACACACATATATATGGATAAAATCCAATATATATACATACAGCAGATGCAAAAATATATATGGATAAAATTCAAAAAATATATATATATATATATATATACATACAACAAATGTAAAAACAAAATCAATTTTTTTTTAAACATAACACAAATATATATATATATATATTATATAATTAATTAATTTTTTTTGATGAATTGAAATTAGCTTTGATATATATATATAGATTATGTAATTTGCATACACATATAAACAGATTATATATAGCTACACATTTTCTCTTCCAAAGTCTCAGGCACCAGCATTTATTAACTTTGGTTACATATAATCTATAATCTGGACGATGGGTCTGGATTTGGGTTGTCCGAAGCTGCTGGGGGTGGTCAACTGTGGAGGTTACGGTGGAGTTGATTGAAGAGTGGCTCTGGATTGGGGTTGACCGGAGAGTGGCGCCAGAATGGGATTGATCGGAGTTAGGTAGTAAGAAGCTCAAAAAATTTTGATAGTATGAAGATCAAACCATATTCAGTAAGATCAAACCATCTTTCATCTTTTTTTTCTTTTTTTTTGGGGGGGGTAAAGGTTTACAGATCTGATGGCATTGTTTATAAATTCGAAGATGTGCCAGGGGCATTTTCGTCTTAAAAAAAGTATTACTCTCCTTACAAGCACGTGACTCTCACAATGTGTTATCTTTAACGAAAAAGTTAACTATGCGTTTTAGTTCACAAATTATATGGGAGTTATGTGATGATTTTCAAATGTCAAGAATAATCCGCATCCGACTCAAATCATAAAGAAATAAAGTCCATCTTTAATTTTCTTATAAAAACAAAATAGATTAAAAATTAAGAAGCCACTTTTAACCTATTTTTTAAAATAAGCCTTTGTTTAAATTTGAAATTGGACGCACTATTGTTTGTACCGCCGCCCTTATCAACACGTGGTCCTTTTCGTTTTTGTTGGGTTTTGTGATGGAGAGTTGAACCCAAACCCATGATCTTCTCCTAATGAGGTATATGAGATTTGACAATCACTACAGGAAAACATAGCAAAAAACACGGAGCTTTTAGCGACGCCGCGCCCCCCGTCGCAAAAAACGGTTTTTTGCGACGGTAACGTCACCCGTCGCAAATAATAGCCTTTAGCGACGGCATTTACTCGTCGGTAATGAAACTAAGCGGAGGGGTCGGAAATGCGGAAGTATTAGCGACGGTAAAGAAAACCGTCGCAAAACACCTTTTTTTTGAGACGGCATATCTCATTTGCGACGGAAATTTGCCGTCGCAAAAAAGTATTAATTCAAACGGCGCCGTTTTACGAACTACTGCCTTCTATTTGTGACGGTCTACAGCATACCGTCGCAAAAAGTCAAAATAAAAAAATCCCCCCTCTTCTTTTTCCTGTTGCCGCTCGATCCTTCCTCCCTAAATCCCTAACTTCACCCCCAAATTTCTCAAACGGGCTACGAGCAAGACAGCGGTGGTGCGGCGAGCAAGCCAGCGGTGGTGCGGCGGCGACGGCGACAAGTAGTGGTGCTCCGGCGACGACTCTCTCTCGCTCTGCGTATGCTCTCTCTCTCTCTCTCTCTCTCTCTCTCTCTCTCTCTCGGTCTCTGTATATATATATAGATTATTGGATTCTAATTTTATATTTCTAAAAAAAATTTAGATGAACCGTAAGGGGGAGTCTACTGATAGAATGAATGTTTGGCTTATAACACGTAGAGTAGATGACCAGCAGGTTTATCCAGACCTTGGTAGTTTTTCAAAACACCTTTGATTGTATTAAAAGTTTATTTTTTGTGTGTCAACCATCTTAATTTGGCGTATACTTGTGTGTCTGTATTCAATACAGGATGAGTTTAATCGTCAACTCTCTATGCTACCTGAGGATGGTCGCACTTTGGAGGTAGGAATGCATTTTCCATGAGTTGATAGGTCATACAGACATGGATATTGTCGCACATACGGGAGAATTGTGCCTCGGAGAGTGGGTGTATAAAGAGTGGTGCTTGGCCATCACAGTCAACAGCCCAGCCATCGACTATGATCAGATCACGCAGCAGGTTCGATGCTGAGCTAAGGGATAAGTTGAGAGAGGAGCCTGCGAGCAAGAGTTCTCTACACATTTGCAGCAGATGAGAGCTGAGATGATGGCCCTTGTGTCACAGGGGGCGAGTGTGGATCCAACAGACCAGGTTCCATATATAACATCACAATTGTTTGATAGTTTCAATTTTCACTCAAGATTATGTATGAAATTCGACTATGATTAACACATTATGCACTGACTACATAGGTTCCTGATGGCATCGAGTGGGCCACCGGGCATTTAGGGATCTGCAGAAGACGAGAATCCATATAACACTCACCACAAAGATCAGATAAAAATGTATCTTTGCATTCTAAGCTAAAATGCATCTTTGCGTTCTTTATCTTGAATTTCGAGGCGTTAACGCCCCAAAATCACCAAACGACGTGGTTTAGGACAAAACTTGGCAAAGCACGACCTCCTAGGCACGACGAGACTTGTGGGAGAAAACGGGGCTCGAATCGGGTTCCTCGGTTTGGGGAGTT